CTCAAGCGTTACTGACCCCATCGGAGCGCGTGCTCAAGCGTTACTGACACCGTTGGAGCGTGTGCTTCAGCATTATTACTGTATCGAAACCGTATAAATTATCTTCGTGAAACTTGCCACACTAAAGTTTTGTAGTGAATTTTTGGTGGTTATTATTGGCCAATAATATAAAAGTCATAACAGGAACCAATGTAAAAAGGTTAACAGAAATAAACTTTTCAATAACTTTCTTACTCTCTTTTTTTTATAAGTTGTGTAGCTTTTAACTTTCTTTGTTTAAATAAGGAACAAGATTCAGGTTTTCCCATGAAGTCCGGTTGTGAAAAAATAACCCCAGACAACTAGGTTTAACGGCTCGTCTAAAAATACACGTAGTTTTGGTATTTAACTGGGATGAAGGCCAAGGACGTTTATTTATTTATTTGTTACACTTGTGCTCAGTCGGGTAACTTATAGCACGATAACGGAGTCGGTGCTGCCTGCTATATGTACAACATTGAAGTATGACACTTTATTCCTTTTCAAGAGGACACTTGTATCGCCTTAATTCCAAGCTCATTTAAAACAGACAAAGTAAAAACAATTGCAAGTTCAAACTGGCGAACAGAAACACAATTTTTCGAAAAAAGATTCAGAGTATCATTGGTATTCCCATTCAAACAGTTTCTTTTTCTTTGGTGGGGGGGGGGGGTAATAAATGCACGAGACGGGGTTCGGCGTCCCCCAACCTCGATTGAATTTTTAAAAAGTTTTGTTTAAATCATCGTATGGGATATTGGTTGAGTAAAACAAGGAAATCGGAAGGTTAATGGTCCACTGTGCTGCCCTCTATAATAATATTTAATGTGAAGTTGAATGACGCTAAACCAACAAGTATATGTATGAGCTAAAAATACATAAACACGTCATAAAGGACACCAGTTTCACGCAGCCCTCATCATGATACGTTACACAAAAAATAAAAAGGCATTTCACTAAAATCAGATCTTATTGGATTCTTATGTTCACTTCTTTTTTCTGGTTACACTATTAACAAATAAAAAGTATACTGTCTAAGCTTTTTGACAAAGTCTGTGTTTGAGTTCGCTTATAATTGTCAAACTGCTGGACTAATTGTCACCAAAATTGGCATGTACCTTTAGGCCTCCTGGAGAGTAACACAGGGTTGACCCTTCTATATTACCCCCCCCCCCCGACATGCCCTATGGGTTAAAGGGATATGCCAGCTAGTATTCTAGGGAATGGAGTTCACCCCCCCCCAAAAAAAAAGGAAAATGGGGAAGGGACGTTAAAAATATTCTTCCCTAGCAATCCCCCAATGTTGTGAACCTAAAGTTTTAGGGTTGATACCTGGTACAGCATATTTGAAGTAAATCTATCGCCAAAAAACTACAAGAAATTTGGTTGTTTCGTTTATTCACACAAAGAGCAAGACTACAAAAGGCTACCTGCGCTAGCCATACCAATTTTGAACTGACAGGCCAAAGGGAAGGCAGCAAGTCAACACCACCTATCGGCAATTCTTGGGCTACTCTAATCGAATCCTGGGATTTAATCGTCAATCTTATAATCAACTCAATTCTTCAAAGTGCGGAGAGCTTCTCCCTCGGCAACGAGACGCGAACCGTGAATGATTGGATTCACAAACCAGCACGCCGACTACAAAACCTTTGTACCCATCCGCACGTGATGACACTATCACGGATCTTTAATTAATTATTCTAAGAAGTCAATATTGGTGTAGATTAGACGTACTTAAGTCTACTTATCTTGGATTAAAAGTACCACACTACAGGAAGCACTTCTCGTATGGAAACACTACTAACGAGATGTATAACGATTTGACTCAACTTAGAATTCGTTACGAGAAAGAATTATGTGTTTAAAAAAAATGTCCCATTGAATAAATAATTCTCGTTTTTCAAAGCACTTATAATAGTTTACTTAATTTTCTCTACGTAGAAACACAAATTGTAATCTCACCTCTGCTGGTGATCGTGAGGTGGCTCTTCCGTTCCCGGCGGTGAAGCCATGTTTGGAGGAACGATCAAGTCGAAAGGAACGTCTGGAGACTCGGGGGTGGTGACGAAATTGGGTTTCTGCGACTCGTAAAAGGTTACCCTCACTTTAGCAGGCGGTTTCAACGGCGTCTCCTCACTAGATAACGAAAAAGATGGAGATTTTGAAGACAAGGAGAAACTAAAATGTTTTACAATTTATCTGAGAGTACGTACATTGTTTTTGTAAATTCGAAACGATTTTCCTTTTAATTAGAATGGCTGAAAAAAATTACAAATCTACACTAAAGCGTATTTAATATTATTAAACAAATTAATTCTTTTGTTAGGCTTAACCACGTCCTGATAAAACAACAAACGATCCCTTCTTTCAGCTGTATGCAAAAGATAAGTTCCTATATATACTCTCATTAGCAACGTCCAGCACCACATTACTGGTTGCTATAGGTTACGATTTAAAACAAAAATGAGGCTGGTAGCTTACTCAACAAAATCACACGCCTATTGAAAAATACCGATTCTAATAAAAGAGTTAGCACATAAGATCACACAGAAAAGGTGGAGTGAATTAAAAAGTATAAATTATTTATATTCAATGTAGCTTTTATAGTAAAACTAGGGTTACGCTAGCCTCACACCCAAGACGAACACATTAAAACTACGAAAAATTTGGCACATTTACTCAATCCAACCAAACATTGTGTTTGGTAAGAAGTGTTTGAAGCCTAACTAATGCATTTTCCTGGCAGAAAATTTAACTTGAAGACATGACACACGGCCCCCAGTGGAGAAAAGTACAGTCACGAGATATATACGAACGTTTTGAATGAGCACTAACATTCAGGCACCACGACGCCATCTATAAAGCGCGTACTTTTTTATTATTAAATAAATCTTTATCAATACCTAAATATTGTTAATGGCAAGGAGCCGACTCGGTGGCATTCTGCGCATACAAAATTAACTTCCTTCATAATGTATCTCTTCAACAACACACACAATTTCACTTTTTTTAATTGTGAAAATGGTTAAAATTTCTAATTTTCAAGTTGTACGCACGGCGAGTCGAAACAGATGTAGACCAAATATCCAATAAATAACAAAGAGTAAAAGAGTTAGCTTGTGAGTACTAGTCCCGTCCCTGAGGTGGCAGTGAAACCCTAATTAATATAATATTAACGACACTCTATCAAGTCATTTTAGCTATATATAGAACAACAGATACGCTATATCTCCCATTCCAATACTAAATATAGTAAATACATATACGGTACTCCAGATAGCTGGTGAGATACGTGTATTGGTTACTGATGTACTATTAGCTATGCCTACTGTTTGCACACTGTGAAAATGGATATTTTCCCCCACATAGACGCTTGAATCGTGTTTAAAACGAAAGCAAATCACAAACAGAAGAGCGTAACGATACATCGAACTATCGATAAATTGTGTTTGTTTGTTTGTTTGTTTTTAATTAAGCACAATACTACACAAGGGCTATCTGTGCTCTGCCCACCACGGGTATCGAAACCCGGATTCTAGCGTTGTAAGTCCGCAGACATTCCGCTGTGCCACTGGGGGGAGGGGGGTTAAATTGTGATTATGAACGTCTCGATGGGATAACAATCCCCGACAGCACCCTCAATTATCTACGTTCTCGATAGTTTGCAAAACGCGATCATTTTTTTCCCTATCCTGTTTGTTTTATTTAAGCTATTTCTCGGTAATTTCCTTTAGTTTTAGACTGGTTTTACGATTTCTATTCACGCGTAAGCCTAAGCGCCGCGCATGTCGCATTTTAAATAAAGTATTTACATAAAACGTTAACTTTACGATATAAGAATAACTTATACTTATTTTCATTTAAAATTTTTCATATTTGCATAATCTCTAGATCCTCCTAACTGAACATCAAAATGTGTTGTTTTTTTTCGGTAACATTGTATATTTTATCCGTATATTCTTCTGTTTTTAATGGATGGAGCTCTTAATTATCTTTGGAGGTTTAAGTGGAACCAGTAAACTCAAAAACATTTCAAATGATGCTGAGAAGAAAATGATTTGGTACAAAATGAATGGCCTAGGTTCAAAGGCTTATTGAAAGGCACATATAAAAAAAAACCTCAAAAACTGAACATTTACGTAAAATGATTATTAAACTGTATGGTGATCAATTTCCTAACACGTTTGTTTTGTTTTGAATTTCGCGCAAAGCTACACGAGGGCTATCTGTGCTAGCCGTCCCTAATTTAGCAGTGTAAGACTAGAGGGAAAGCAGCTAGTCATCACCACCCACCGCCAACTTTTGGGGTACTCTTTTACCGACGAATAGTGGGATTGACCGTCACATTATAACGCTCCCACGGCTAAAATGGCGAGTCGGGGATTCGAACCCGCGACCCTCAGATTGTGATTCGAGCGCCGTAACCACCTGGCCTTTCTAACATGCAAAAATCGTATCAATAGCTTCACGCTTTTGTGTAACAAACACTAATTATGAAAGAACCTTCGCGAAGATTGAAAATATACCGTTTAATTAGAATTGTAATGTTAAGTCCTGGAATTTAACTGTTAGATCCAAGTCCTAACAGAAATTAGAAATAAATGTGTAAATTGTGTGTGTTTTTGTAGTACTTTCTTGAGGCCAAACACACAAGAAGATAAATATATGATCCAATCCCTACATAAACCAGCATACAGATGTTTGTCCACGATACCGAATTACTGACCACCTTTAGCAGATATCGATAGAGGCAAAATTTTATCAGTACCGTACTGATCGTTGCAAAAAAAATTGTCTGAAGCACTGTATGTACAAACTATAACATACTTAATGCTTCCGAATTGAAACAACGATTTAAAAGCTGGGCGGGCTATCTTATAACAAATCTTGCACGGAAGGTTTACGTCACCACAACTAACAAGATGAGTGGTAAAACCTCCAGGGATAGTTTTTGAGAAATAGTTCCTCCTGGATGTAAACTGTGATTTCTAAGAAAATAACTAAGCAACTAGGTGGCACCACAACCCGATAACTCGCTCCTTGGGAATGATGGATTGTTTGTTTGTTTTTGAATTTCGCGCAAAGCTACACGAGGGCTATCTGCGCTAGCCGTCCCTAATTTAGC